ATGTAGAGTCAACAAATTGCACATATTGCAGAGATAACGCAATAACTGAAGATAACGCGAACCACACGTTCTTCGAGTGCAATAAGTGGCTACCTGTAAGAGAAGTGCTAGCAATGAAAGTTTAAGTTTTTTCCCCAAACACAATCAGAGAATAAATTGTCGATACCAAATTAAGCTAGGATTTCATAGTAATATTTGCTGTAATGATCCTTACTTAGGCTAAAATAGCTGGACCTGAAGTTGGAGTTGGAGCAAGTAGTTACATCACGACAAGCCAAAGTATAACCTTAACCACTTAAAGCGGTAGTGAGGACTGGACGCAGATCACGCCGATGGAAATCTTAATTGACTAAAAGGGACTTTACTGCAAAATGATATTAACGCAGTCCCGTGGTAGGACAAAGTCTCTAGGAATGAGGGGGAGAGGCTTAGTTTATATCGAATATATCTTTCGTAAATTGAATGTAAAGTAATATTAAAGCAGTCCTGTGGTAAGACAAGGTTTTTAGGAATGAGGGAGAAAGACTTAGTTCGTATCGACTATATCTTTCGTTCTTGGATTTAAGTGTAACGGTATGAGTTTTACAGGTGTTTAAACTATATTACCTTGTTATTACCTTGTCTTTCCATATATCTTGTAATTTCATTATATAGACTATTAAGAGTTTTTTATATATCATATTTTTTTCAGATATTAGATGATTTATGCTTCGAGTAATCTCATTTACTATTCCGTTTCTTTAACATTCTTATAGCTCATTTATTAATTGATATGTGTGTTTGTGGTTAATCTTTTCAAGACTTTCTGCTCTAATTTTTAGACCTAATATGGTATGAGTTGATTGTCTTTAATGGATCTCTAATTCTTCAGTATTTTAACTTACTTCCCAATGATCTGTAAAGTCATAATTTGGTATTAATTGCTGTCTTCATGTATATTATTAGTTTCGGAAATAATCCTTACAGCATTAAACTTACCCAGGCAACTCTTTGAAACTATTTTAAATCTGATTTTCATTACATTTTACTGAAAAGCAGTGTTAGAATATGTGTCCAGTATATAAATAGAATTAATTTTCATTTTACTCCATTAATAGCCCATGTTTATGTACTAGTAATGAGTTTAATTGTACTATATACTGAAGGAACTGATAATCTTTTCAGTTGGATATCAACAAAACTATAAACAAAGAAAAGCTCTCCTATAGATTTTTACAGAATATTCAGACACGTAAAAACTTTTTTACATGCTTAAATCAATTGTTGTCAATGAAAACGGCAAAATCTTGATTTAATTAATAAAACTTCATTCAAATTTGAATTTTGAAGTTAATTATGACGATTACTTTATAGATACTCTTTATTTTGTCTGCGCATATAACTGTATCGAGTATTGCTAAATACCTATCAACAGTAGTGCTGGAATTGTTTCTTATATTTTATTATATTATTATTATTTTATAATTTTTTGAGATTGAAAGTGTCAAGGGTTGACTCGTATTCTGCCAAATTAGAAGTTCAGACTCAGTGTTCTTTAGTTAACTTTAGTCAACTGACCCAAAACGATATTTTATTTATATGTTCGAACCAAAACTCGAAAAATTGATTTAACTGCAATGGGAACATGGTGTTAAAGTTGCATTACGGACGAAGAAGAAAGGGTCTTGTTAGATGGGAATATTTTTAATATAAAATCTTAATATGTTCTGTTCTATAATCTATGATTTATATGTTATAGAAATCATTTATATTTATAAATGGCATAATATAGAAATCTGTGATTGTCTATCCGAGTCAACTCGATTCCAAATTTAGAGGGACAGTCATGTGATTTGATATGTTGTTATTAGAAATTTTTTTCAAAAAAGGAAGAAGGATTGAAACAAATGAAGGCTTCACTTTATAGTTCCGTTTTAAGGTAAGATATTTAAAATTCTTCTGATTTAAATTAATGATAATCGGCTCATCTTAAGTATAGTCTTCACAAATTTAATGTCTTTCCTTAAGCTTAAGACTAATTTTTAATGAAGTGTTCTTTTTCACTAATGAGAATTTTTTTTTAATTTTTTTTTATTCCATTGTGACTGCTGTGGAATTAAGTAATCAATAAATTAATTAAAAAATCAAGGTCTTATAAATAGTTTTAATATTATTTTGCCATCATTTTGTACCATTCAGAGTGCAAATATTTATTGTCAGCACGCCAGATCCTTGAATCGAAATTAAGCTTATTATGATATTATGACATTGAACTACATTATGAAATACTTATCCATCTTTCACAGTACGTTTTATAATTTGTCTTTGAATTTATCTACGAATTTATTTATACTCGTACCAATATGAACTTATTATAAGCCGCATACTTGCTGTCTGCCTGCCAGTGCCACTTATTGATTGCCCGGTTTGGTAAATGTCTGCGGATTGCAGTTGCTTACTAAATATCTGCTCGTACGACGGGTGTCTGGAAATTCTCAATCGCAGTTGGGGCCAGTTTGTTGTCTGTCCAACTGTCATTTTATAGTGCCTTGCACTTTGTACGGTATTATGTTATTATACCAATTATGGTTACAGTGTATCACCAAAGCAATTGGTTTTATGGGTGCAACACGACACAGCAAGGTTTCATTGAGTTTAAATGGCGAAATGCATTCAATGGAAATGTAGTTTAGTTATATTTTTTTATTATTATTTTTGTTCGACTTTAACGGAGAAGCCCTTTTAATTTATTTATACGCTTTGTTCACTGATTTCAACTTATGATTACACTTAAATTTTTTAAATAGTATCTTTTTTTCTGAAGAATTGTCGGTGCATCAAACTCAGCTCGCATTGCAATTACAAACATTTTAATGCAATTAACACACCTGTACGCGTATAAAATAACCGACATCGCAGTTTAAAACTCAGAATTGAGAATTTAGAATTCAGAATTCTGAATTATTTCTGTCTTTGTGAAACTTTTGCCGACTGTTTATCGGAATCTGTTCCCTTTTAAATGAACCGCTCCGTGAAAAGTGAAGAAGTCGAAACCATTACCGCGTCCGACTGGTGACACACGTGTAGACTTATTTTGCAGTCTTAAATATAATTTTTTCTTTTTCTTAAAAGTTTTATATTGAGTTTTGGACGAGGTTTCCATTTTTTAGAGTTCTTGGTTGCTATGTGCTGACAGTTTTTAAACGCAACTTAAGAACTTCGTGCAATTCTGCAATTAAGTTTATTTCACTTTTTGATAAAAAATTTGTAAAATTAATATTAATTTTTACTTAAAAAAAAAAATTCAATAAATAAAGTATTGAGTGTGTTATTTAATACCTTAAGTTGATTACATAGGTATTAAACACGTGTAGTAAAGAATTCAAACTGCATATATAAAAATCAATACCTGTGCATTAGTTTATATTCTAAAGGGTCGAAATCACGAATTTGATACCAAGAGAATTTCTAAAAATATTGTTTTCATAATTTATAATGTACTCTCCATATGGGACTTTAAGATCATCTCCTAGGAGTGACATGAAAAGATTACTCGACATCGAAATTCTTATATCAGTAATAATGCACAGATGGGAGAAGTCGATTAACTTAATTTCTGTTCGACACTCAGATGAATGTATGGAAATAAAAATAAATTGTATGAACATAAAAATTAGTTACATCCTAAGCTTTAAGTTTCATGCTTTTAGATTCTGTGTAAAATGTTCTTAAGATTATGTTTTTTCATTGCGGCATATTCGTCTAAATAAACACTAATTGCAATGTGATAATGAAATGTCTGTTGTGGCATATGAGCCTAAATAAACACTATTTACAATAAGATAATGCAACATCTATTGCAACTTTTGCGTCTAAATAAACAATAATTACAATGAGATAATAAAATATTTGTTGCAACACATACGCCTAAATAATTATCTTAAAATAATTAAGGATGTTCCTAGCTGAACATCTTAATAACTCTACGATAAGATATATAAATACATACTTGAATAGACTATCTAGACCAGTACCTCAAAAGCAGTAGTTGTAAATTCGGATAGTGATAAGAACATATACAGCTTAATTACAGTAAATAGAGAGATACTGTGGAGGGTTTTACCTCAACCCAATCAAGAGGTGATTTGAGAGAGAATTCATATGAAAGATTTCATGTGATGGATTGTGGTATCGTATCAAACATCTTCTTGAAAGACATACAAAAGACTTTTTAATTTGAGTTATTGGTACATAAATTCATTGGGGTTTTTTTCACTTATTACAGATTTCTTTGGGTAAATGGTAAATTCTAAAGGACATATTTGATGTTTATATTTGAGAAAAAGCTAAACTCCCCTAATACCTGGTTTACCTGGTTTATAGGCATATAGTCAATGTGATGATCTATATCTGTAAATATATTAGTTTTGTACAAAAGTTTAATTAATTTATGTACCAATATTCCAGTAAGTCTAAGAACAATGAAATGCGTCCTTATGAACTTAACCTCAATTAAAATTTAGCAAAGCTTCAATCCTTTTTATTAGTTATATGACTATATTATGTTTATTTAACTATATTATAGTTTGGATAAGCAGAAAAAATTATCTTAAATTTACTATAATGAGCAAGCATAAGATAGAATAATGTAATATAAATGAGAGGTCCGAATACTGATAAGGTAAAATACTATTAATGGGTAGACCAACGATAACAGAAAAATGTTTTTTTTTCTTGAATCTGGCTTTTTACCTGCGGATAACAAATCTATTTCATCGTTAATGTTAGAGTATTGTGTGTATTTAATAACATCGCTGTCATTTCTGGGTGCCTCGTTTCAAAATCATTGGTATTTTCCGAATTTATCTCTTTTATGACCAAATACTTTTTCTGGGGAATTTATTTTAAAGAGAAAGATATATTGCTCATACAAACGATGTATTATATTATTAAATATTAAAAAAAAATATCACTTGAAGTACACTTTATTTATTTTATTACTCATCCTTAGAAATATATATATTAACAGTCGCACGTAGAATATTATAAGCATACCATGATGAATGTATAATGTAATCACCACTTGGAAACGGTAGGACCCTCGTAAAGGAGTTATCCATGGACTGTGAATTCAGTTTATCCACAATTATGTCATGCTGAAATATTTTTATTAAAAACCATTATTTATATATATTTTAAATTAAATACAAACATTAAATGGACAAGTGTGATTTATATTTGAATAAACCTTAAAAATTTCGTAAAAAAAAGTAATAAGACGATTTTTGGGCGATTTAAGATACTTGCAGCCGTCAATTGTAAAATTATACAAAAATGGTTTATACCCACTCTCCTTCTTTGAAAGAGCAAATCCAACCTGTAAGTATTGTTAAGACATTTTGTTACAAAGGTAGAATATATTAAATAAACCACTTACATGGATAACTGTAACGGGAATTTTATATAACCTGACTTTTAATGAAAAATATTTATAAGTGCGATTAATCGATTTCAGATAGCAATACTCAAAATCTGAGAATGATGGATCTCGTGTTTCACATTTAATATTCGTAAATCTAAGTTCAGTGTGAATCTTAAAGGAAAACAAGGATAAATTAAGAAAATCTGATTTATATATATAAAATAGTTTAACTTACAATAGGAATGATTATTAATAACACAAATAAACTATGCCCATCCATTTCGAACTAAATTTAAATGATTCGAGCATTTATTTTTATTATTTTGAAACATAGGTTGTAAAGCGATAGGAACTGAATTAAAATGAAATTAAAACGAGATTTTTATCTATGGAAATGATTTTTATATAAAATTATTCTGTAGCTTTTCTGGTTAAATATTCCAACGTTCCACATAAGGCTAACTAATTTATATATCATTATTCCACTTGCAATCAATTATTTCAGGAAGATTAATTTCAGTTAATTGTTTTGCACCATTAAACAGTTTTAGAAAAGTTTGTAATTAGTAATAAATATATGTTATTTTTACTTTAATATGGTATTTATTTCGAAATATTTAAGAAATTTAAGAAATATTTATTTAAATTTTTAAAATTTTCCATTTATAATTTTTCCACTCCATTATAAAATTTTAATCAGGAATCAAAAATATGTTCGAAATCCATTTCGTCGTATTACTTCTAATTTTTATTAAAATATTTTAATTTGTTGAAAGTATTTTCATTTCACTTTTATGGTATGGTATTTATATACCATATATATATTTATATAGAAAGGTATTCGTTCTAATATTAGACAGATTTTAACATCATATAAACTTTGCATATAATTAGGTTAGATTAGGTTACAGCTGCCATTCTAAAAATTCTATGTGTTATCATAAAAGAAACTTAAAGGTTTCAAACATTTTAACACTTACCAAAGATTAAAATCTTTCTTTCTTAATAGAAATAAACTTTTTTTTAATAGAATGCCACCAACTTGAATACAGATGTCTGTATATCGTTGAGTCTTCCCATCTTCTCATCGTTGAGTCTTGACATCTTATGATGTCAGCGATATGGTTAGATTAATTAGGTATTCCTAATGATTACTTAAGGCTGCCTTAACTACAACTCTATCCTCTAAGATGGTACCCATCTATTCTCCTGCTCCAAAGCACTTATTTTTTCGGCCTTGAATCTGTTGTTATTATTATTATTATTAAAGTTTAAGCGTGAAATTGCCCAACAGCCGGTACTGCGGCCAGAAGAGTCCTATTATACGAGATTCACTATTGATCACACAAAGTCTCTTAAAGCTTTGTGAATAAAGTCTAGAACTAAATTTAGAGAAGAGTTCTTAATCTGTTCTAATGGCAGAAGTTCCAAATGAAACGAGTTTATTGTGATTATAATATGGTATTCAATTTATGAATACTATTGTCTACTGATCTATCAGTTGAGCTACCAATGCTGTAAGGAATAAAAAACACAATATAAGAATATCAAATATTTTTATAATAATATAATAATAAACTGACAGATTTACCAATACCGAGTTATCAAATCTCAAAATAGTTACAGGATCCTCGAGGAGGTATGAGGTCAATTATTGCTTAGTCTGATAAAGTGATAAACAATAATCTAGTCAAGGTGTAAAGAGACGTTTTGAAAATACCTTGAGTTAAAAAAGAGTATAAGTGCTTAAGTGCATTAGCTCAAAACTGCTTCAACATAATAATAATAGTTTTATTAATAATATCTAATTTAATAATTTTTTTAATTAACAGTTTTTTATTTCTTTTGATTTAATAATTAATGTATTTTGATAAAATAATTTTCATTAGAAAAATTTATGTTTGTATCTACAAACATTTTTACATAGTCTGTGTAATAGAATAATATTTTGGTCAAATTTTGGATGGACGAGTAGGTTAATGAACTTACGTCTATTACTGTATCGCAAAAATAATAATAGTTATTTTTTGATTTATTTTCAGTGATGAGGAAGTTTTTATTAAGAAAAACTATTTTTTAATATGTAGAAGATCATTAGATTTTATTTTATTTTATTGAATTGCAACAGCAAAATTTTTTTTCACAAAAAGAACAGTGCTGAAATTCTACAATTAATAATAATTATAATTAATTAATTTAATTATTTTGTAGCTGGTTTATAGTTCCGTTCTATCTTATACATTAAGACCGAAAAGTTTTCGGAAATTCTCATTTAAAATTCGCGCGCTGTATATTTTTCGATATTTTAAGTTTATGTAGTTTGGCAGCACTGTCCTTAATTACTATGCCAAAAATGAGCGCGATCTGTCAGACAGTTCGTTTACGGCAGCTGTTGAAACCAGTTCACCTCAGTAGGGCGTTGCGAAAAAAACAATGGAAAAAAATATTGAACAAAGAGTTTGCATCAAATTTTGTGTTTCGAACGAAATTTCGTGTGCAGAATCGTTGCGAATGCTACAAAAGGCTTATGGGGAATCAGTTTTATCGAAAACTCAAGTTTATGAGTGGTACAAAGCCTTCCAGGACGGTCGTACGACCGTCGAAGACATTTCGCAACGCACTACTGAGGTGAACTGGTTTCAACAGCTGCCGTAAACGAACTGTCTGACAGATCGAGCTCATTTTTGGCATAGTAATTAAGGACAGTGCTGCCAAACTACATAAACTTAAAATATCGAAAAATATACAGCGCGCGAATTTTAAATGAGAATTTCCGAAAACTTTCAGTCTTAATGTATATATAATTCTTCTGTACGTGTGTTGACAGTGAACTCCTCCTAAACGGCTGAACCGATTTTTGATGAAATTTTTTGTGTGTGTTCAAGTGGATTCAAGGAAGGTTTAGATTCACAATTTGGCCCACTGGATAATGTCTTTTTAATTAATTTTTTATTTTTTGGTATCCATATACATTTTTATTAGAAATTTAAAATTTATTCATGCTTACTTTGATATGTTTAAAAAGTTTAAAATCTCTAAAATGAATCGTAAAACTGCCATTTCATAAAATCAACATTGCTTAAGTAGATTTAAATTCCGCAGCATAATTATAGGTGAGCCAATTTTTAATCTTAAGTTATGTGGTGGTATTCCTGGTAAATCCAGCGAATTCAAAAATTCAACAGGCACTCATTCGAAACAACGTTCGCCGGGTCAGCTAGTAGTAATATAAAATAGCAAGGGAATTTGTAAATGAACTTTCACAGCAATTTAACAAAACTCGAAGTCAGAGCATACAAATCAAATATGGCTTTGGGGCAGTTAGCTAATGAACACTGACTCAAAGCTTCAAATTTAGTAAGGTAGAAGCTCAACTTCCAGTCTATAAAAATTTTTTACGAATAATTAAATACAAGAAATAGTTCCAAGACCACTGATGATGGATGTTTGGCAATACTCGAGATAGCTGTATAGTTAGTCAAAAATTTAATTTATTGAAAAAAAAATAAAGTTTCCTGTAGTTCAGCACTGTTAAAAAACCTCAATAATTATTTCTATTTGAAAAGACTATGTTGTCATAAAAAAAGTTATTTGAAAAAAATTTTATCTTGCATAGAATGAAATAATTACTCTCGTAGGTATATCTTTCTACATCAGCGTTTGTAATGGCATTCACTTTTTACTATTTAGTAAGGAATTAATTACCATGAAAATATTTCTAATCTATTAAATATGGTATTCCTTTGAGATATTCGATGCATTTTCCACAAAACTGTTTCTCTTCTATCTTCTATCTCATATTTCAGTAAGTCTTTTAACCGCCGCTTGAGCGGTTTCCTGATTGCATACTGAAAGGGCGCAAAAAATATCTTTGATAAAATACATAAAAGTGCTTACTGACTTAAACAAATACAAATTTGCAATTTTTTTCATTTTTATAATTTTTTATGCCATAAACTGCATTAAAAGGTAAAAAAGGTGCAACCAACTGCAACGCAAACAGTTCGTTAACTTCAAATTGTCGCTTGATTTGGCTTAAATGTCGGTGAAGAACAAAAGGGAGAGCGGCAATTTTGCTTTGTAGTACTCCATGAAGTCGGGATTCTTTGAGTTTGCATTACAATTGCGTCAAGTACTCATATTTACCAATAAGTGTCAATTTTATGCCAAAGTTTATCCAACAAAGCCATATTAAATTATGGCTAACATATGCACTGTGGCTAAAACGGTAGATACACAGATACACAAATATGATTAACAACCGACGGAAAAAATTTCCGAAAAAATGAAAGAAAATTTGTGCGAGAAGACAATTTTTTTGTTACCAAAAATATAAAAAAAATTAAAAAAAAACTTTTTTTTTGCTGAAGATTAACATTTGCCGTCATTGTGTGCCTAAAATATTTACGAGCGGATACACAAGTGAATAAGGCACAAGTATGAACGAACAGCTTTTTTCTTTCAGATGAAATCACAAAAAAAAGTCAAATGCCAAAATAAGACGTACGGGCAGACGGACTAGCAAACATAAACCGAAAAAACCCCACGTAAAATAAACGTACGAGCGACAAGAATAATATTTAATGTGGACCGTCTAGACATTTGGACAGACTTGCGCGGTGTTCACACCGGCAACGTGCTCTTTGCGAAAATCGGTTGCTCATCATATGCTCATCGCATATCGTTTGTTCGCATATCTTCGCTTGTATCAGATAATTAAGCTTTTAATGTTTAAATTTTTATTTTCAAACGTTTATCGTTAGTAATACATAATAAGTGTTGGTATATTATTCATAAACGTATATCGAAGACTGGAAAATGAATATATCTAACGTCCATTTTCAAGACATATGAAATGACATTTTTATAAACAAGAGGGGAGAGGGGAGACAAGTCAAAGACAACGAATTGTATGGTATTATATATAATATTATATTGTTTGTTTATATACGAATGTAAAAATTTATTTCATTATAATTAATTAGTTAAGAGTGTTCAAACATCGTCGTTCAGGCTTAAAAACCAGACCATCGAACATGTAAATAACTTTTGTTACCTTGGTAGTATTGTTCCAACCGATAGCGGTGAACTGTCACTACAAACGAAAATGCATGTTAATAATATGAGAGTGAAGTACATACTATTGTATAGATCTGAAATTTGGCGGGCTAATTCGACAATAGCGTGAAAGCTACAGAGTGTCACGAATAGAAGCTTACGAAATATTCTGCGAATCTGCTGGCAAGGAAAGGCGTTGTTTCATACATAGACTAAAAGGTC